GTGTGAACTAATATAAATTCAAAGTAAACATCATTACATAAAAGGGTACGGTCTTTTTTTCAATAGTTTTATTCATTTCAAACGGGCCGGATCTGGCCCGCGGGCCATAGTTTGCCCACGGCTGGTCTATGGCCATCTCTAGGTGTACTACTGATTGAGGATAGAAACCCTTCTGGTGGGGTTTGTCTTTGTATTTCCATCAGTTACCACTGTCCCTGAGACATAGTAGGAGTTTAGTTAATACTTGTGGAGAAATAAATAAAAATAGAACATAGGTATGTGTTTCGTCACCCCAGGGATTGGGGACCGGGTAGAGAGGTTATCTCATGAATTATTTGTTTCTCTTTACAGAGATTATTTTGCAGAGGATGATGGGGAGATGGTACCCAGAACAACTCATGCAGCAGGTAAGGAAGCCATGGGCCTTGTCTTGTTAAATTCTTGGTTTTCTGCTGGTCATAAATCCCTTGAATCACAGACCTTTAAATTCACCATGGCAGTGTCTTCAGACTTTTTGTGAATTTTCAAACATGCTACTGTGGCATGTAACTCCTCACCTGGCCAGCACATGCAGTGAATCTGTATGTGAACTCTAGACTTTTAATGATGCTGTAATTGCAAGGTTAGAGTCACTTGTAAATTGATTAAAATAGAGTCTGCCAGAAATCTTCACTGTAATATACCATTAAAATGAGTATAATAACAGGGTCAAGCTCACAAGTGAGGTTAAGTGTGAAGAGCTCTTAGAACAGAGCCCGTGAAGGAATAAGCACCCAGTAAATATAGTTATTAATGTATTCATAATACTTCCTCATCATGACTGCCCTAACATTAGCCAGAGAGCTACCTAAATTACAAAACCAGGGTGAAGATGGCTCTCGCTTTTCAGTTTTTCACAAAAACTTAATCATTTGAGGATTTCACTTTGCTAAGTGATCTGCCTTTTTCATACCAGCCTCGGAGCACAGATAGTTCATATGCACAATGTGGGGAAAAGTTTATAATTGGAACATGTTAAGGACTTCAGAGTCACTTAAAACTAGCATTTGTAGTTGCGTATGTTAATCTACAGTGATCACAGTGCCACCATTATGTGACATCATCTGTTGTTCTGTTTCACTGGCAGCTTTCCTCAGTGACGCTAAAGATCGGGGTCCTGCAGTGCAGTCACAGACCTGGAGAAGTGGTGAGAAGGTCCACTTTGGGCAGACACATTACCTTAGAGCCTTTGAAAAAGCCCCTCAGGTGCAGACCCAGGCTCTCCGAGACTTTGAGAAGGTAAGTCGCATGGTTAGTTGTTACCCCAACTAGGAGGAGTCCCATAGGTAGTGATGTCTTATAAAACTATGACCCATCGCCAAAACCAGTTTGGCTCTGTGGATAGAGCGTCGGCCTGCGGACTGAAGGGTCCCAGGTTCGATTCCGGTCAAGGGCATGTACCTGGGTTGCGGGCACATTCCCAGTAGGAGATGTGCAGGAGGCAGCTGATCGATGTTTCTCTCTCATCGATGTTTCTAACTCTCTATCTCTCTCCCTTCCTCTCTGTAAAAAAATCAATAAAATATATTTAAATAAATAAATAAATAAATAAAACTATGACCCATGGCTTGCTCTGGTGTGGGCGTTCTTACCGTAATGGCGCCTCTTGTATGAGCATGTGCCCCAATAAGCATCTGCACTGTTAGCTGTGTGCCTGAGCGCTGTGGTTTGTGGGCAGAGAGTGGCCTGAGGCCGCGATTCCACTGCCTCGCCATTTTTATCCCCGGTTTACTTCTCAGATCAATTCAGGAGGTTTAAATGGCACCTGAGCCCAGGGAATCCAGTCCACGTGGCTGGCATTATCCTCTCTGTAGCTGGCTTGGACACACCTCTACACATCTGGATGCTGTCTGTGGTGTGAGGCGGCTCAGCCACAACCATTTGCTGCTCTACAAGAATCTGTCATTGTGGCTCGGAACTCCTGCTTCAACTCTTGACGTGCTCATCACCTTGATATGTTTACCCTTAGATTTGGCCAGGCCAGATTACGGATAATGTAATTCAGGACCCCAGCTCCCTGTGCCCTGGATTGACCCCAGGAAGGCTGAACAGTAGCACCCATCTTCTGGCATTTATATGGCCGGCATAATAAGACCCATCTACTGGCATTTATATGGCCTGGAAAGAGCACCCAGGATTTCTTACACCCCTGTGTGCTAAAAATAGAAATAGTTCTTTGGTGCCCCCTGGGGGTTACCCAGGTATCAGGCCTCACACCAGTACTGTGTAGATGTACTCAGACCCGTGGGTTTCTTCTATTCTTGAATTGACAGCTTTTGACATAAAATAATAAAATTCCATTTTCAGAACAGGGTTAATAAAGCCGTGTTGACATGGGTTTTCCCCGTCTTCTCTCAGGTTTTAAATAAAAATGTTTCATTAGGACCTACTGTGCATCTACCAGATTTCCTGTGGACAGAGAAGATGCGCCACGTCCCGTGGGCTTGAGAATTAAACAGCTTGTTCTTGCTTTGGCTTTGTTTTCACCCAGTGTTGTCATGGATACTGGGTGTGTGTTTTTAAGACACAGAGAGTTTGCAGGAATATTAAGTGG